ATTAAGGGGATACAAATTGGAAAGGAAGAAGTCAAGCTTTCCCTATTTGCAGATGACATGATAGTATACTTGAGCGACCCCAAAGATTCCACCAAGGAACTGATACAGCTTATAAACACCTTCAGCAACATAGCAGGATACAAGATCAACTCAAAAAAATCAGTAGCCCTCCTATATACAATGGACAAAGAAGCGGAGAAGGAAATCAGAGATACATCACCCTTTACTATAGCCACAAATGACATAAAATACCTTGGGGTAACACTAACCAAGCAAGTGAAGGACCTATATGACAAGAACTTTAAGTCCCTGAAAAAAGAAATTGAAGAAGATGTCAGAAAATGGAAAGATCTCCCATGCTCATGGATAGGCAGGACTAACATAGTAAAAATGGCAATCCTACCAAAAGCAATCTACAGATTCAATGCAATCCCCATCAAAATACCAACACAATTCTTCACAGACCTGGAAAAAATAATACTCAACTTCATATGGAAAAACAAAAAACCCAGGATAGCCAAAGGAATCCTGTACAATAACACAACTTCTGGAGGCATCACGATCCCTGACTTCAAGCTCTACTATAGAGCTACAGTAATAAAAACAGCTTGGTACTGGCATAAAAACCGACATGTGGACCAATGGAATCGAATTGAAGACCCTGACATTAATCCACACACCTATGAACATATAATTTTTGACAAAGAAGCCAAAAGTGCACAATGGAAAAAAGAAAGCATCTTCAACAAATGGTGCTGGCAAAACTGGATATCAACATGTAGAAGGCTGCAAATAGATCCATATCTATCACCGTGCACAAAACTTAAGTCCAAGTGGATCAAGGACCTCAACATAAATCCAGCTACTCTGAACCTGCTAGAAGAGAAAGTAGGAAGTAGTCTTGAACGCATTGGCATAGGAGACTACTTCCTAAATAGAACACCAGTAGCACAGACTCTGAGACAAACAATCAATCAATGGGACCTCTTGAAACTGAGAAGCTTTTGTAGAGCAAAGGATACAGTCAACAAGGCAAAGCGACAGCCTACAGAATGGGAAAAGATCTTCACCAACCCCACATCTGACAGAGGACTGATATCCTGAATATATAAGGAATTCAAGAAATTAGACATCAAAATGCCCAACAGTCCAATTAAGAAATGGGCTATAGAGCTAAACAGAGAATTCTCAACAGAGGAAACTCAAATGGCCGAAAGACATTTAAGGAACTGCTCAACATCCCTAATCATCAGGGAAATGCAAATCAAAACAACTCTGAGATACCACCTTACGCCTGTCAGAATGGCTAAGATCAAAACACTGAAGACACCTTATGCTGGAGAGGATGTGGAGCTAGGGGAACTCTCCTCCACTGCTGGTGGGAATGCAAGCTTGTACAACCACTTTGGAAATCAATATGGCGCTTTCTTAGAAAATTGGGAATCAATCTCCCCCAAGATCCAGCTATACCACTCTTGGGCATATACCCAAGAAATGCTCAACCACACCATAAGAGCACTTGTTCAGTTATGTTCATATCAGCATTGTTTGTAATAGCCAGAACATGGAAACAACCCAGATGCCCTTCAACTGAAGAATGGATAAACAAAATGTGGTACATATACACAATGGAATACTACTCAGCAGAGAAAAACAATGGCATCATGAGGTTTACAGACAAATGGATGGATCTAGAAAAAATCATCCTGAGTGAGGTAACCCAGACTCAGAAAGACAAACATGGTATGTACTCACTCATAGCAAGATACTAGACATGAAACAAGGATGACTTGTCTGCTACTCACATCACCAGGGAGGCTACCTGGAAAACAGGACCCCAAGAAAGACACAGGGATCGCCCAATGACAGAGAAATGGAATGAGATCTACATGAACAGCCTGGACATGAGTGGGGGTAATGAAAGGCGAGAGTTGAGGGAAAGAGAGCTTGGGGGAGCGGGAGATCCCAGCTGGATCAACAACAGAGAGGGAGAACAAGGAATAGGAGACCATGGTAAATGAAGACCACATGAGAATAGGAAGAAGCAAAGTGCTAGAGAGGCCCACAGAAATCCACAAAGATACCCACACAACAGACTGCTGGCAGTGGTCGAGAGACAGCCCGAACTGACCTACTCTGGTGATGGGATGGCCAAACACCCTAATTGTTGTGCTAGAAACCTCATCCAACTACTGAGGGATCTGGATGCAGAGATCCATGACTAGGCCCCGGGTGGATCTCTGGGAGTCCAATTAGCGAGAATGAGGAGGGTTTATATGAGCGAGAATTGTTGAGACCAAGGTTGGATAAAGCACAGGGACAAATAGCCAAATGAATGGAAACACATGAACTATGAACCAATGGCTGAGGGGTCCCCACTGGATCAGGCCCTCTGAATGGATGAGACAGTTGATTGGCTTGATCTGTTTGGGAGGCATCCAGGCAGTGGGACCAGATCTTGTGCTCATTGCATGAGTTGGCTGTTTGAAACCTGGGGCCTATGCAGGATTGTTTGGCTCGGCCTGGGAGGAGGGGACTAGACCTACCTGGACTGAGTCTACCAGGTTGACCTCAGTCTGTGGGGAAGGCTTTGCCCTGGAGGAGATGGGAATGGGGGGGTGGTGGGGGAAGGTGAGGGGGACGGGAGGGGGGAGAACAAGGGAATCCGTGGCTGATATGTAGAACTGAATTGTATTGCAAAATAAATTAATAATAATAAAAAAAAGATTGGATTAGCAGAAAGATTTGTAGGCATTTTACAAAGAGGAAAAATCATGAAATTCAGTGTTTTTGTTTGTTTTTTAAGTGTAGTTTATATCAGATTGAGGAAATGGCCCAACAATGAGGAGCACTGGCTACTTTTCCAAAGGACCCAGGTTAGGTTCCCAGTACCCACATTGTGGCATCTCAATGTCTGCTACTCCAGTTCTAGAGAACCAAATGCCCTCCTTAGGCACCATGGACACATGTGATACCCAGACTTACATTCAGACAAAACACCAATACACATTATAAAAAAAGAATAAATAATACAAAAATGTAAAGTATAGTTTGTGTAATACAGCACATACCAAGCTGATTTTGTTATTAATGAAGTTCCTATCACATTTAATGCTCTATATAGCTAAGCCTGAGCCAAGGACTTCAGTCAGCTGCTCTATTTCTCAGTGGGGTCCCAGCAAGCTGTCCTTAGCTGAGGCAGTGTTCTTCAGAAATGACCACAGGAGAGCTCAGCAGGCTGGTCCTTGGAGAAGGCACAGCTGCCTCATCTTCAGATGGCACTGTGACCCGAGTCCTTTCTGTGCCATAGTGTCCCCAGGTGTGACTCATTCTCCAGGGGTCTGTGGTTTGTCCATTAGAAGTCAAACGTGACCTGTGCACAGATATTAAGACAACAAAGCTGACTTGGGCATAAATATCTACAGCAAGAGAAATCCGGGGTCTTTCGCTCTTTGAGATGAGGTTGCTAGCCTGGTGAAAAAGGACCATAATGATAGACTCAGAACCTGGTGTTTTAGGTAACTAAACAGAAAAGCTGAGGAATCAGGATCTAAGGACTGTCAGTATCCTGAAAAACAAAAGATAGCTTATAAATATTCACTTTCATCAATTCATATTTAGTAAGCCTCATCCAAATTAAAGCCAATTTTCCCTCAGGGCTTGGAAACCCTTTTAAATCCTTTCCCATCGTGTTTTTGAATCAGATTCTCTTATGGACTGCTGCATGTATGAATTCTGACCCTCACATGCACGCACTTTAATGCCTAAAAAGATACTGCATTGAGTGTAAAGGTATGAGGCACCAAGCTTCTCCACGCAGGTCAAGGAGTCAGGGAAGACACTGTAGCTTGCCCAAATCCAGCTACCTAACCAAGATTTTTAAAGGTTTTGTTTTTAATGAGTTTAGCAAAAGTATTCTGCCAAAGTAATTTAAGTAAGCATTCATAAACATATTTGGAAGTTTCCAGCAAACATGGCTTTTAAAGAACATAATGAACCAGCCCAGGATTTAAATGAGCAGCAAGCTGTCCTGACTTATGTCCCCAAGTTCTAGGCAACATGACAACTCAGTCCCCTCTCCCAAACTTCTCTTTCTTTTGGTACGTGGAGGGAAGACAATACCATTATGACCATGAAGGAATTTAACAAGATAAGAGTAGATGCTCCCTCCCTTCTGCCTTTCACCTCTGAATACTTCAAGAGAAAGCCAAAGGCCCTTGATTTCCAGGATTACTTGCTCTTTATCCATGCCCTCATCCTGTTTCCCTGACCAGCTGTGATGCACATGCAGAGGATCACTGTTGAATCATAAACAAGCAACTGGGACAGAAGGGTTTGGGATTTGTTTCAATACAATCAACTGCCTGCTGGAACTAGACACCTAGACATGCACAGACTGAAGCTTGTGTTTTGTCCACGAGCAAGATGGAGCTGTCGCAGAATGTGGGAAGCTTGCCCTTCAAGGCTGGGGATTCTTTTTTCATGTTTCCTTGCTCTCCTTCTGTCTTCCTCCCTTCCTTCCTTCCTTCCTTCCTTCCTTCCTTCCTTCCTTCCTTCCTTCCTTCCTTCCTCCCTCCCTCCCTTCCTTCCTTCCCTCCCTCCCTTCCTCACGCCCCCTCTCTCTTTCTTTCTCCCTCTCTCTCTCTCTCTCTCTCCCTCTCTCTTTCTTCTTTTGAAACAGGGTCTTACTACATAGCCCTGGCTGGCATAGAGTCAGGATCCTCCCGCTTCAGCCCACTGAGTGCTGAGTTTGTAAGTATGTACTACCAACCCTGACCCTTGAACATGTTTCCTTTAATGCTTTACCATCAGAAAGAATTTAAATTTTCTTTGCCAGAAATCAACTATGTCTAATTTGTAACTTTAAAAATGTTCTGGGGAAAAAAAATCACTTCGGTAATGCAAAAGGCCGGCGTGTACCTACCGCTAATGACAATAACCAAACATCTTGCTGAGTCATCTCAATTTGCTTCTTCTTTTGATTGTTTCTGTACGTGCAGATGACAATGTTTCCAGTGGGTAAGGCTGCAGCACTGGGGATCAAAGGTTCCTGTGTCTTGGACCTCAACTCTCTGAAAATAGGAGTGATAATATGACCACATCTTTCCAAGTGCTATGGCCGTCGTTCAAAGAATGTACAGGAAGAAGACAGTGCAAAAGCCACAGCATGGAGATGCCCACTGCCCAGTCTGCTACTCCTACAAGCTGGTGGCCCCACACATCTGGCGGTAGGTGAAGTAAGATAGTGATGACTCATGCTGAATTTGCTGGCCCTGGGCAGAGAGCACATTGTTTATTCAGAGCTGATTCTGAAGTGAAAACAGGTGTAGATGACAGAAATCATCACTGGGGAGGGTTTTGGGAAGGTTGACTTCTCATCTCAAATTCATTATGAGGTGTATTGCCACACATAAACACACAAGACCTCTCTGCCTCAACCTATTAGACACACACACACACACACACACACACACACAAACACAATGTGTATTATATCAGGGTGTGTGTGTGTGAAAATGGGTCTTTTGTTATAGCAAAGTCTTCTCCATTATTTCATTTCCTGGATTACAGAGTCAATAAGGTACAAAACATTCCCAAATCTTGAAATTGATCAAAAGGATATTTGTCTAGAGTCTTGAAATGTCTCATCTTCTCATCACCCCTCCATACAGAACACTCAGATGCCCTGGTCTGTCTTACTTTGTGACTAAACTCATGTTGTGTAGACTGGTTGTTGTGTGGGTTTGGTCAGGTAATTGAATCTGAGTGTCAGAATTGATTTTCAGTATTCACAGCAAAGCAACTCAAAGGTGAGCTACCTAAAAGTATCTCTTTTCTTGAGCAATTAAGCCTAAACTCTGCTCTTGACACCATCTACCAGGTTCTCATGCCGACACCGGAAGCCATGCCAGAACTCAGGTGCCTATGAGTCACCCACATTTGGTATCACTGATAGAAAGAAATCTACGGTTTCAAAACAGAATCAGAAATGCAGGGAACGCCACTTTCCCCTTCGGCCACAAGACAAATACAATATTGATACTGAGACTTATCTGATCCAAGAGTGAAAAAAACAACAATGGTTTCTCAGTGGCTCCTTCAGCTTCCTCATGAGCACAGTGGGACATGCACTAACACGCTTTGCAAAGAGGCTTCGTTAATGACACCTGCTCAGACCATCTGCTGGTTAGTCACATCTTATTTGAGATCTCCATTGTTTCTGAATGGTAAATACTGGAGGAAGGATTCATGGGAAGTGTGAGAACTGGCCTCATTCACATAGCCCAGAATGTCCTTTTCCAAAGTTGAGTGTTGGCGTGTGTCACGGAAACATCAAATTCTGATAAACCCAATTTGTAAATCTTATTATGACTGTCAAGATTGCCTTGTGTTGCCTACACTGTGGGAGCCCATTTCCAGGTTCCTAGTGGCTTTACCCAGCAGGTCTGCATAGAGGATGATTAGGACCACGGGCCTGAGTGCAGGTGTCTGAGATGGTCGGCACTTGGCTGTGCTGGGGGAGGTCTGTTGCTCCACCCCTTGGTGTTTCTATAAATACCGTAGGGCAGAGACAGTCAGGACCCATTGGAATAGGTTCCAGGCCCTCTCGAGGCTATCCTGTATTTTCTGTTTATCTCCACACTCTAAATCCTTCTAATATTTCCTGCTGCTCTCACTAAAGAAAACTCTGGGGAACTGTGGAGTTGGTGGGTAGCTACCCCACGCTACATGAAAGGACTCTACACCTATTCTTCTTTGTTTTCCTATATTGTTATTATTTTGAATCTTTCATATTTTGGGAGGACTCTGTCCAGTACCTCAGACTTCAAAAGGATCTATGAGCACAGTCCAGAACCAGTAGGAAGAATGTTTCTCTAAATGTTTAGATGCCAAAGACCTTTTATTTTATTTTTTGAGGTTACAATTTGATTACAATATTTCTCCTTTCCCTTCCCTCCTCACTCTCCTTCAAATTCATGGTTTCTCTTCTCATTAATTTTATTGCCTGCATATATGTGTATACATAGAACCTATTCAGTCCATATAATCTTATTTGTACATGTGTTTTCAGGACTGCCTGTTTGGCGATGGACAACTAATTTGTATATCGTTCCCCAAGGAAGACCACTTCTCTCCTCCAGCTTTCCTCGGTTGCCTATAGTTCTTTGTGTAGGGTTGAGAACTCATGGGCTTTTCCATATGCAATTTGGTGTGTTTTGCTGGACACCAAAAAACTTTGATTAAAATATTGCTTTTCTTTCCCCTCCTTTTCTTTCCTTTCTTTTTTCCCTCCTCTTTTCTCCTCTTCTTTTTCTTCTTCCTATGTTTTCTTTTTTTTAATGAGATAAGGTCTGGCTATGCTGCCCAACCTGGCCCTGCACTCCTGGGCTCAAGCAATCCTTGGAGAGTAGCAGGGACTGCAGGTAGAGACCACTGCACCTGGCTTCTTGGAACGTTCTACAGCAGCATTGCAAGTCTCAGTAAACCAAATGCATCCAGACACTCAGACACACAGGTTTGGCCTCTATCTATATGAACATGGATGGAGATCTTGAGTTCTTTTCTTATTCTGATCACTCAATCATTCATACACACACACACACAGAGTACTTGACTTTGCCTAGGAGTTAAATGCTGATCTCAAGATAAATGTCCTTCATTTCACTGCCCACATTTCAAATTCATTAGCTTTTGCGTCTTGCTTTACCTACAAGGAAATTGGTGACCAGTGATGATCTCAGGTGACAAGGGAAAACCTTCAGTCTCTCTAACTCAAGATTTCTGAATCTTTTCATTCTGTCTGGGAAGATGATTCCCTAACAATGAATTTCTTTGTAGTATCACCTTTGTGAAACAGACTTTGTCCTGTCAAAGTATCACTGTGGAGGGATCATGTGCTTCTCCTCTTCCTCCTCTGCAGAACCTTCGAGATCTACTGTCCCACTTGGAGACTCAATGAGGAGATTAGTAAGATAGCAGGAACATGAAGCAATACACTGATTGTTTAAAACGCAATACAATTCTGTGTGTTGCACACAACAATGAGAAACTATGCGAAGTTGCAAAACAAATACTTCCTTATGGTTGTGCTATTAGTCTTTATTATCTCTGGGATGTCCTTTCCAACTTAAAGATGTGTCCTTTCTGTGGGGGACCTACTGGAGTCATGTTACAGTAGACCCTGAAGCATTTGATTTGCCTTTGTTCCCATGGGGGAAATTGAATTGGAGACCTTGTGTGAGAGTCTTGATGAACAGTGACTGGTTCAGCTGGTTCACCAGGCCAAACAAGAAGAAAAAAACTAAAGTATTTGAAATGTGGGTGGTGAAATGAAAAAACATTTATCTTGAGATCAACATTTAACTCCTAGGCAAAGTCAAGTACTCTGTGTGTGTGTGTGTGTGTGTGTGTGTGTGTGTGTGTGTGTGTGTGTGTGTGTGAATTATTGAGTGATCAGAACAAGACAAGATCTCAAGATATCAATCCTTGTTCTTATAGATAGAGGTGGAGTCTGTCTGTCTGAGTGTCTGGAATGGATTTGATTTCATGAGACTTGTAGTGCAGCTATAGAAAATTTTGAAGCTCACTCAACTGTAGTGAAATTTATAGACTCAAAGCAGACATTCTTGATAAACATGAATTTCTCATGTAAAACTTTCAAGACTTTTTAAGACTTTAAAATATTCCTTTAGTGTTTCTTTTAGTGTTTTAATAATAAAGAGTATTTTCTTCCTTCAATACAGAATAGAATGTAATCTCCTCTGCATGATTAAATAGACATGATTTCATCATCAAATACCAGAAAACAAGCGTAGAGAGGCATTCTAGTTTGTCACCATGTGTTGAAATCAGAAACAACAAGCACCAGACATCATCAGAAAAGTTGGGAGATTGAAGGTGTTTAGACTCACCTGATAGGTTGGCAGTTTCGATTCCTTAATGGTCTTGGCATAGCACCAACCCATGCTGACCTAGCTTCCCACCATCCTGTCCTGGTTCTCATGCATTTATTGCCCTCAATCTGGGAGATGCTGCAGTGTACAGCATCCTCTGTAGTGGGTAGCTGTTCCAGCTTTGACCTGGAAGTACTACTCCCATTGAGGCTTCGGTAATTGTTATGCCTATAAGGCAGAGCCGAGAGAGGATCCCTGAAGACCTGAAATCCAGAAGGGCTGGCTCTCGTGGTTCCTGGATCCTGGACGCTGGAGGTAGACTGAGCAGAGTTCTCCAGAGAACATCGGGGACTGCGCTTCACCTTTCCCAGACCCTGTAGCCTATCCCTTCAATTGTAAGTTACCTTACAAAATAAACCTCCCTTTTAACTATGTGGAGTTGCCTTAGTAATTCTACCAATAATTCTCTCTGCTTTACCTTCAAGAGCTGTCTCAAGAACCCCAGAGGACCGCAGCTGAGCTCCCTCCACTTCTGAGTTTGCTTCCCAGTGCTTCCTATAGGTGGCAGCAGCCTCGGTTCATGATATTTTTCTTTAATCCAAGAACATTTGCCTTCCCTCTTATATTTAGTTTATTTTGTCTCCACTTTGGCACATCTGAACTGTCAGCATCACCCCTTCTATCTGTCACCTTTCTCATGGCTGTCATCTGACAGATGCAACTTAGATGAGGAAGGGCTTGATTTGGCTCGCAGTTTATAGGATCGCAGTCCTTTGTAGTGGGGAAGGTATCATTGTGGGAGTGGCTTGGTCCACAGCACCAACCAGGAAGCTGAGAAAGAGAAGGGACAATGCTTAGCTGGCTTTCTCCTTTTTCTTTTACTTTATTAAGTCCAGGCTCCTAACCCATTAGGTGGTTCCATCCACATTCTGGGCAGACCCTTCTTCTTTAGTTAAATGTCTCTGGAAACACACTCAAATGCATACCCCAAATGTGCACCCATCATTAAGACTCTAAATGTCCTTTAATCTAATCAGATTAACCATTCAATTAACTATCACATTCTTCTTCCACGTTAATTCCATACTAAAGTAAAATAATAGTTACTTGAACACAGCATTGTGATACCTCTTCACCTGATCTGGTCATCGAGACAAGTACTAAGAGGCTAAGGAGCAGGTAGCAGATGTAGGATGGCTGGAGGGGCAAAGGAACGATCCGTAACCTGGATAGACCAGAGCTAGATGATGGAACATGTCAACACAATTCAGAATGCTATGTAGACTACACAAACAAAGTGCTGTGTCTAGAATTCTCTGTTTTCTGTTTTCAGACTATCATTGAAGACAGGGAAGTGAGTCTACCAACTATGCTCATTATCAGTTTCTCCCTCACACCTATTAACAGGTTGCACAGTGCCCAAATGTTTCCATGCCAACAAGGTTTATGGTCTTTTTGCCTCCCCTTTTTCATAAAAGGGGAGATTAATATATTTTTCTTGGACACATTAAATAGTGTGACTCACATTTTGCTGTTCATTTACATAACCAACGAAAAAAAAATCCACCATATCTGTATCTAAAAGGAAAACTGAAAATCAGTTACATTAAATTTTCCATCGGGGCTTTTTATGATAAGCTAATGATTTTTCCTTTGCTTTTGTTTTTACTTATTAGTATAATAATGTGTCAGAAAAAGTAGTGCATACTGGCGTGCATGAGAGATGGTGGTGATACCTACAGCAAAACCCCCACCAAGTCCAGAGCTGGGGAAATGGCTTAGTGTAAACACAGACTTCAGTCAGATCCTAAGAACCCAGATGAAAAACTGTGTATGATGGCATGAGCCTCTAATTTCAGTGCTGGGGGGTCAATACAGGTGATTTCTAAGGCTTGCTGGCAGTTAGTCTAACATAACTGGACACCCAAGGTTGACCCCCGGCCTCTACATACACATACACATGTGTATATGCACATTAGAGTACACTATGTGCACCCCCATGATCATATGTATACACACACACACACACACACACACACACACACACACACACACACACACAGAATTCACCAATTCTGGAAAGGTTAGAAAGTAGATTAGATACATTGCAGAATGAAAGGACTGAGCAGATGCCATAACAGGCTGCTCAGACTTCTCTCAGAAATCAGACTTCAATTTCAGTTTCCTGAGACTTGAGCAAGCAGTTTCTGGGAGGGCCATAAACAAAAGACAAAGTCCTTGCAGTAGCTCCCTTTCTGAATGTACTCTGATCGCTCAAGGTTCAGTCAATTGTTTACTGTTTGGGACCCCTCACCAACTTAGAGCTACATGCATGGGTCAATGTGAATGTGCAAGGCCAGCCAGCCTCCATGGCAGCTCAAGGACAAAGCCTGGGACTTGTCCAGGCTTGCCCAAAAATGATAACTGTAACCCCCAACCAGTAAATTCAAAGGTTACACACCCTCACCCAATCATATGATGCAAAGGCTTGTACCACCCTGCTTGTGGTTTTTCCCTTTAAAAACCCCTCACCCTGAGAGCTCAGGGCCGTCCTCCTCCACCCGCCGTGTTGGATGTTGGACGCCGCCCAAACCCGGGCTTGCTTGTTATCAATAAACCCCTGTGTGTTTTGCGTCGGATATCGCCTCTGTGGTGGTCTTGCTCGGGGGTCTGTGCGACAAGGCCACAACACGGAACACTTGCAGTGGCAGACTACAGAGAGGAAGTGTGCAAAGGCACGGCAAGGAGCTGCTTCTACAGAGCTGGGGAGGGAGTTACAGGGAAGGTCAGGCAGTGCTCGGTATCACAGTACCCTGGAACAAGCGCAGTTGGGTCTTTCTGTGGTCAGCAACTATCAGGTCTTGAGGCAACAACACACTTTGCCCTGAGTCAGAAATGGCTCAGAATCCTAAAATGGCATCCATGTTTCCCCCTGACTGATGAGCAATATAAATATTTGAATGAATATCTCTTCTTCGGTGGCTTCTTTAAGCTAAGTCAGGCAACCTTCTGGCCCTATGCTGTTAATATGACCAGGGTTCACGGAAGCCACACAGGTGACCTTGGGGTAAGTATAGGGTGATTCATTTTAAGGGTCTGAGGTGTCCAGGCTCAGAGGAAGTGGGTTGGAACTCATCAAGGTATCATCTGTTATTGCACGAATTCCTAAAGGTCTTATAATTAAAAACCCCAGAGCCAGATATTGGGGTTAATGCTGAAAGATCAGAGAGACAAAGGAACAAGCCACTGCCACAGCTCCCCTTGCCAACTTCATGAATCCTCTTTTTGAAAGCCTCTGAGTCCTCAGCCGAAAAAGCTCCCTAGCCAAAAGGCCTCCAGCCAAGAAGAGGGCTTAGTTCCTGTCTCCTTGCACCTTATATGTCTTTCTCTGCCCAGCCATATTACTTCCTTTTTTGTGCTGGGATTAACGGCGTGTGTGCTTTGCAAATATTGGTAGCAAAGGCATGCGATCTCAAGTGCTGGGATTAAAGGTGTGTGCCACCACTGCCTGGCTCTGTTTCTCTCCTAGACTGTATCAATCTCATATAATCCAGGGTGGCTTTGAAATTACAGAGATCCAGACAGACCTCTGCCTCCCCAGTGATAGGATTAAAGGTGTGTGCCACCACTGCCTGGCTTCTCTGTTTAATCTAGTGGCTTGTTCTGTTCTCTGTTCTTCAGGCAATTTTTTTTAAGGATATACACTATATCACCACAATCTATAGCTGGAATTGTTGGATTCTGCTGGTCCAATATTCTTATTATCTGTCTTAATGGGTAGCTTCATTGAAGGTTTGTTCAGTTAAGGATATGGAATTCTATTGGTATAAATATATATTGTTGAGTAGAAGATCCCATAGAGAATTTGTCACATTTGATCCAGGGTACAATATGATGTTTTGGAATTTGGTCAGGAGAGATTGGCCAGAGATTGAAGTCTGTTGAGTTCTGGAAAGAAAGTAACCTGGCCAGCCATTAAAAGAGGCAGAGACTGAAAACTCAGACAACATAAGGAATTCTTCTAGAGAGATAAGAGGCAACCATAGTCATGATCATCTAAGAAATAAGTAGAAAAAAATTGATACAAGAAAGGAGAGCCCTGAGGACCTGGCATGCAGAAAACATCCTACTCATCAGGAAAGAAAGTAGTAAAACAAGAGTCTGTCATGCCTCAGCAGGTGTGGGGACATGTGCGGGATAATTTTGTGTCAACTTGACACAAGCTAAAGTCAGCTGAGAAGACGGAGCCTCCACTGAGAAAATGCCTCAGTAAGATCAGGCTGCAGGCAAGCCTGTAGGGCATTTCCTTAATTAGGGATTGATGTGGGAGGGCCCAGCTCATTGTGGGTGATGTCATCCCTGGGCCGGTAGTCCTGGGTTCTATAAGAGAGCAGGCTGAGCAAGTCATGCTTAGCAAGCCGGTGAGCAGCACCCCTCTATGGCCCCTGCATCGGCTCCTGCCCCCAGGTTCCTGCTTGTTTGATTTCCTGTCCTGACTTCCTTCGATGATGAACAGTGATGTGGAAGTGTAAGCCATGTAAACACTTGCCTTCTCAAATTGCTCTGGTCATGGTGTGTCATCACAGCAGTAGTAGTAACACTAACTGGAACAGGGCAGAAGGTTTTATTTTAGTCTTTATTTTCCTGGAAGTCCCATGAGACGAGAGAGAATAAAGTTAGGAAATGAATTTACAGATTATCAATTCTTGTTCATCAGCTGCTGGGTCATGCCGGGATGAGGGGTGGAAATTTCTAACTCCTAACAGAAGTTAGACATGTCTTGAACACAGGCAGTATGGAGATTTTTCTCCATTAATAATAGAGGAGACATGGAATTTTGTTCACTCCAAGGCAGATGACTTAGTTTTGACAGGAGAATAAAATGTCTTGAAAGGAAATTTTGTGGCAGTTAAGGTTTTTAGTGTGGGATAGGCTAGGGTGAGCACGGTGTTGAGACATCTCGAAATTTGATAATTCCAAAAATCAGAGCTGTGTGTCATGATTGACTTATTTGAAGCTGGCCTTGGGTTCCCTTTTGAGGAGTATGTGTGGGTCTGTATTTGGGGCTTTAAAAAGTCCCATTGTCCTCGATTACCTTGGAGGTCACAGATCAAAATATTGGCTGCCCTTTTATGCACTTTATTCCTTTTAGCATTGGCCCCGAAACTAAAGCTGGAAAATATTAACACAACTTCTTTAAAGTAATTCCCTAATATTTGGATTCACCATATAATTTTGTTGGGCTTATAGATATTTTTGAATTATTCATTTAAACCTACACATAACAAAACATTCCAAGTTAAAGCACAAAAGGTGTTGAAAGCATATTTCATGAATGACCTTTTTTTTA